AAAAAAAAGAACATTAAGGCGACACCGAAGTGATTTACAGCGCCTCTACACCTACTCTAATAACGACACTGAACAAAGCTATTGAACAGACTTGTTTATATTGTTTAACACTCCTACTCTTTGTTCAGTCACATTGATTAATGATACTGACTCTCGGTTTAAACAAAATTTATCGCGTGACAAAGCCTTTGTCAAGAAATCAGCTAGTTGTTTTTCGGAAGGCACATACTCAATAACCATGTTTTAATTTTCAACACATTCTCAAATATAATAATACTTCACATCTATGTGCTTAGTCAATTTATGGTGTTCAGAGTTTTTCATCAGTCGAATAGCACTTTGATTGTCTACAAGAAGATTTGTAGGTTGTTCGTTCAAAGTCACTTAAAGTTCTGTCAGCATCATTCGAAGCCACATTATTTCTTGAGCTGCTGTAGATGCTGCGACATATTCTGCTTCTGTTGTTGATCTGCTTACACATCCTTGGCGATGCGATGACCAGGTAACTGGTGCTCCAGCTAGCATACTGAGATATCCCGTTGTAGATTTTCGAGTTGCTATGTCTCCAGCAAAATCAGCATCTGAGTATACCTTGAGTTTGTCGTGGTCACCCTGATAGCACATACCATGGCTTTTTGTTCCAGCGAGATAACGCATGATCCTTTTTACAACTGTCCAGTGGGTTTCAGAGGGATTGTTTAAGAATCTGCTTACTTGGCCAACGGCGAACGCAATGTCCAGCCGTGTCACCACTGCCAAGAACTTGAGACTACCAACTGCCTCCCGATATGGTATGTTGTGAGTCTTCTGAACTCCTCTGTCTTCACTCAGGCGCTGGGGACTCTGTAGCTCTAAACTTGGATCAGCTGGTATCATTTGAGGTTTACAATCTTGCATGTTGAATTTGGCTAGGACACGTTCAGTGTATCCCTGTTGACTCAGAAACATCAATTTATTCTGTTTGTCCCGGTTGATTTCAATTCCAACAAAGTAGTTTAACTTATTTATTTTAATTTCAAACTGTGAACTAAGCTCTTTGATTACAAGTGCTAATGCATCGGAACAAGTGCTCATTAGCATACTATCGTCTACACAAAGTGCGAACCAAATCTCCACTTTATTTATCATTGTTCGGAAAACACAGTTGTCAGATTCCAATGGTAGTAAGTTGAATAGACTAAGGAACTTACGAAATTTCCTTTTCCAGCATCGTGGCGACTGTTTAAGTCCATACAAACTTTTCCTCAGTTTACAAACCATGTCCGGATCATCGTTATGAAAACCTTCAGGCTGCTTCATGTATATGTCTTCTGTTAAGTCCCCGTAGAGAAATGCAGTCTTTATATCGAACTGCAGGATTTCCATATCGTAGATCATTGCAAATGCGAGAAAAATTCGAATTGAATCATATCGAATTACAGGGGAGAATGTTTCCATGTAATCGATACCCGGCTTTTGCGAGTACCCTTTTGCGCATAAACGAGCTTTATAGCGTTCGACTCTTCCGTCCGGTCTTCTTTTAATCTTGTAGACCCATTTGCAACCTATCGCTTGTCGATCTGGAGGTAAAGATGTTAATGTCCACGTTTCATGTTTGTTTAACGAGTCCATTTCTTCCTTCATGGTATTATGCCACTCCGTGGCATTTTCATCAGCAACTGCTTCTTGATAAGTTTGAGGTTCGTCATATATTGCTGCTCATGCCATGTCAATAGTTGCCTGACATTCATTGAACCTGTCTGGTGCCTTCATAGTTTTCCTGTCACGAAGTGTGGTTTATTTGCTGGTTTATTTGCTGGTTGAGACATATCTCTTTTCTTAACTTCATCCTTATTTCCTTCTTCCACATTTCTATCTGGCGAATTATCTGGCGGATTATCTTCCTGTACATCTTCCTTTGGTGAGTAAACGGTGTACTCTGGATCGTTAAGTAGAGCGCCTGAGGTATTCCCCTCGTTGAACGTCACATCTCTAGCTACTGTGACTTTTCTTGTATTAGGATTATACAGTCTATAGTTTGTACTATATCCATCATAGCCGATGAAGATGACCTTTTCTGCCTTGCTGTCAAACTTGGTACGAGCAATTTTGGGTATGTGGACGTGTGCTTCTGCTCCGAATTTCCACATGTGCTTGAGAATTACTTTCTTGCCAGTGAATTTTTCGAACGGAGTGACGTTATCATGTACCTTGTTTGGTCGCCTGTTTAGAATGTAGACACTCGTGTTTACAGCTTCAGCCCATAGTGTCTCTGGAAGGTTTGCATCGATGAGCATAGTGCGTGCACACTCCACAACGGATCGATTCTCACGTTCTATACGTTCGTTCTGCTCCGCGCAATATGGTGCTGTTCTTTCTGCAATAATTCCCGTCTTGTTGAAATGATCGGTGAATTGTTCATTTACAAACTCGCGCCCATTATCGCTCCTGAAAACTTTAATTTTATTGCCCGTCTGTCTTTCAATCATCTGTTGAAACTGTAGGAATGTACTAAATGTATCGCTTTTATGTTTTATAAAGTAAACAAACCGATATGACGTGCAATCGTCTTTAAATAACAAAAAGTAGTTTGCTCCACCAAGCGAGGTAACTGGCATTTTTCCACAGACATCAGAATGTATAAACTCTCCCGGTTTACAAGTACGAGTATTCAAGTTGGCATGGAACGGTAATCTATGTATCTTACCGGATTGACATGAATCGCAACAAAACTTGTTGATGTTACTTGTCTTTACTCCTGGAATTAATCCCTTACTAGCCAATTCCTTGAAAATATTATTACCTGGATGACCCAACCTCTCGTGCCAAAGCCTCACTAATTCTTCTGTCGCTGCCATTGCCTGTTCGATTCCTTTTTCCTTGAACAGCATCTTAAAGTATTGATTGACCATTTTAATGCCCGTAGCGATTACTTTTTGATTTCGCACCTCGATCTTGCTGTCGTCAAAAATGACCTTAAACTGCTTGCTCGTAGCGGCTGCCACTGAGAACAGATTTTTCTTTAATTTTGGTACATATAAAGTATTTTCCAGTGTACGTGGCTCCCACTGTCCGTTAACGAGTGCTAGAACCTCTACTGAACCAATGCCTTCAACCTGCACGAACGAGTTGTCACCTATCTGTACCATACTTGACAAACTGTTTTTCTGTTGATCGAAACACTGTGAACCAGTCTTTATGAAAAGTCATATGTTTTGACGCCGCACTGTCCGCGAGCCATGCACTCTCACACTCGGAAGCTGAAATGTTTTTGAACTCGGCGCTCAAAGCTACGTTTTTCGAAACGTCCTCTTGATCTTCCTTCTTATGTTTAGCCTTCCATTTAAGACATTCACGCTTCATATGACCCGTCTTTTTACAATAAAAGCATGTAATACCCGTCTTGTCAGTCGATTTTCCTTGACCAACGCTCTTGTTGTCATTCTGCGAAAGAATTTTCTTTTTCTTCTGCACGTTTAATGCTGCGAATGCCGCAGTAACATCATCTTCCTGCGTAAGTCGCTTTTCTTCCTTGAGGAGACGAGAGGTTAGATTCTCGAATGTCTGTTTTCTTTCGTCGTACGAATCCCATGTGTTTATGAACGCACCGTAACTGCTCGGTAAACTTTCGAGTGTCTTCGCGATCTTGTCAACGTCGGTAACACGCTCGTCTACATCGGCCAGTGCCAAAGCCATCGACTCGATCTTGCTAATATGTTGAGCGATGCTTTCGTTCGGGTTCATTTTATAACTGAAAAATTGTTGCTTGAGCGTAACCTTATTTACCGAGCTGCGTTGTTCATGAACGCTCTTTAGGCAGTTCCACATTTGTGCTGCAGTCTCACACGCGACAATGACCTGTAACTGACTGTATTCGAGGCCCGTAGAGATGATTAGCATTCCTTTTGAGTTGTTTTCATCCCATGCCCTTCTGCTATCCACCTCAGTCGCTTCTGGTCGAACCGTGCTGCCATCGATGATATCGAGAATTTTCTCTGCACGAAATATGATTTCCATTTGAAATTTCCACAATTGGAAATTATTTCTATTGAACTTTTGGATATGGAAATTCTTAAGCTTTTCCATCTTTGCGAGTGTCCTTTCACTAGTCAAAGACCTGACTCTGCGACAATTACCAAGCTCTCACAAAGACTAACTGCATACCGAGTATGGCGTCTTTCACGCGTCGATCCTTTTTCCGTACCTGACACGCGAACTTCCTATTGTCTAAATGTCTTTCTTTCTTCTTGCTTGCGCACTAATCTGTATTGCTGGGCCCATAACCTGTTGTCTCTTAAATTATTAGTTACCAGCATGCAAAAGACAATTACACTTAGAAGAAAGTTATCTTTATTATGCGCCACACAGTTCAGCGATATACACTACAGCAGTGTGCGAACAAGAACATAGAAGAATATAGAAGAACATAGAAGAAGGAACTACATGAGGTGACTCTATCAAAAAAAAAAAAAGAACATTAAGGCGACACTGAAGTGATTTACAGCGCCTCTATACCTACTCTAATAACGACATTGAACAGACTTCTTTATATTTAACAGTAAGTTTAGTTAAAGGTCGTGTAATTTTCGAAAAATTTTCAATAAATCTTCGATAATATCCCGCAAGACCTATAAAGGATTGAATATCTTTGATTTTTGTGGGTTTTGTGAAATTTGTTATTGCGTCTATTTTTTCGGATCTGATAGTACTCCCTTTTCTGAAATTATGTGTCCTAGGTAAGTCACTTCTTTCCTAAGAAATTCATATTTATTTGGTTGGAGTTTTAAATTACTTTGTCGTATTCGCTTTAGTACTTTAACAAGTTTTTTGTTATGATCTTTTAAACTATTTCCGTTTATCACTATATCATCTAGGTATACTAGACAGTCTATTCCTTGCATTCCTGTTAACACTGTGTTCATCAATCGTTGAAAAGTTGCTGGGGCGTTCTTTAGCCCGAATGGCATTCGATTAAACTCGTAATGTCCAGCAGGTATAGAAAAAGCTGTTTTCTGCTTGTCTTTGTTAGCCATAGGTATCTGATGATAACCTGATGCAAGATCTAAAGTAGTAAAGTATTTCGCGTTGCCCAGTTGATCTAATATGTCAGTAATATTCGGTAACGGGAAAGAATCTCCGATAGTAAGATCGTTTAGCTTACGGAAATCTATAACTATTCTTAATTTTCATATTCCATTTTCGTCAGGCTTTTTCAGTACTACTAATAATGGTGCATTCCATTGACTTATGCTTGGACAAATAATTTTATTGTGTGTCATTTTTTTAACCTGCTTGTCTACCTCTTGTTTGTGTTTGGCCGGTAAACAATAAGGTTTTACATTTATCGGTGCTGAGTCAGCGCGTGTTGAAACTTGATGCTTCACGTACGGTGTGTGTGTTAAGTAATCGCCTTTCATAAAGAATAAATCACGGAATTCATCACAGATTCAAAGTATTGCTTTGCGCTCTTCTGAATTTAAATGCTGTAAACGTATTAATTGTTTAACCATGTCGGATCGCGTGAGAATTCCTGTTTTTTCGTTTATAGTTTCTTTCTGAATAGAGGCTCGAGAATCGATTAGGTATCGAATCAATCAAGTTCGCGAAAAAGTCGGACCGAAGCCAAAGTTCTTCTCAGACAACGAACGAAAAAAAGCGGAAGATGATAGCAGAAACCGGCGTTTCTGTATCCATAGTAATAAGGAACAATAATTATTTGAAACAGGCGCAAAAATCGGCCCTTTTCAGAGCCATCAAATTTTATAACGATGAAACGATACTCGAACGCATGAAATAACTATATCTCGCGTGTTTATGCAACACTAAAATTAAAAATACTCTATTTCGACAACCTATACAAGCGCTGAATAGTTGTAGTATTCTATATTGATGCAGTATTCTATATTGAAATAAATTTTATATTTTTTTTTTTCAAAAGCAGCTATTAAGAAGCACTTGTCGAAGCCTCTTGAAAACTCTTCCCCAAGATCTCCTTTTACATTACAATAATTTCCTTATTAACAAAAAAAATGCATGGATATTCGAGCGAGCGAAACAGTCGTCGGGACACCGCGTATTGCTCACGTATAAATGAAACAGTGTGAGTCGAGCGTTTTCTTAGTATACGTCACATGTATTTTAGGACGGTGTTTATAGCCACAACGTTTCATAATGCTATCACTCTCGCTCTTACATCTGCGATAGAAGATGGAAGATCGTCGCGACCATGGACATAGTATACATGGTATTCGAATGCCCTATGTTCTGTCGTCTAATAGAGTGAAGCCAAAAAGATAGCGAGAATAGAGGGGATATAGTTCTCTTCCTATTTTGTCACTTTTTTGTCGCGCGAGCATCCATTTCTCGTTTCCATAATATAGAGCGCAACAATATCCCGACTAGACTGGCAAATAAACCTTACTTAAATCTTATTGCACACTTTGTCTGTGCAGAAAGAGACAGAAAACAGAAGGGCTGTACTATTGGCTTCTCTTTTCTGACTGTATGCGGAGTCTATGTATATTATGTCTATGGTCTCTTTCTACATGTTGGGTTCACTTTTCTGGCCGTATGCGGGGTCCATGTATACTACGTCCATGGCCGCGACTCTCACCACTATTTTCTCTCCAGCCGTCCAACGATCGTATATCGCTAACCCCCTCCGCCACTCCGTGCTGATCGTACCTCACCTCCAGGCAGCAGTGTGTGAGTGAATGACGCGTCATCGTGTGCGAGTCACACGGATATACGAACGGCATTCACGTCGGTCGTGTACATATACAACCTAACCACACAGTCCATGCCTTGTCGACTGAACTGCTTCGTGGCGCCATCTAATGGTCGATAGAGTAAAAAAACGCGAAAACTGGTTGACGACGACGACGAAATCTAATAATCGTAAAACTTGATGAATTCGGAATATCTCTTCTCATCAAACATGTAGAGCAAAACTAAAGAAACTTTTCCGTATAATTGTATCCTGTATAATTCCGTATAATTCGACAGTGAGGAATCGATTAAATCCACTTAGGACTTGATCGGATCAGTCGTTATAGCAGAATGAGACATCTTGCCTCCGCTCAACCAAAGGCGTCGCGTATAATACGCGGCGACTTTAAGCCTGTTCTTTGCTTCGCGCGTTCACTTGGCGCGAGACGCTGCCGCGTTTCTTGATAGTATACCCATGTACGAAAAAAAACAAATGATTTATTTAAAAGAAGAGAATAGATCCTTTTAAATGTAAAATGTATATTTAAAAAAAGTATGTGAAAAGTATATTTGAAAAATATTTACTTGTTTTAAAAATAAGTAAAATACAAATAAATTATTTTGTAAATTTAAATAAATTGTTTTCTGATAGTAACTAACAGCACAAATACATCCTCAGAATATTTTACGAATATCATAAAAGTATATTACGTATATTCTCAGAACATTCGAGATACGTTATCGGAAATACTGAGAACATACTAAGAACGTTCCTATGTCACCGCATTCTTGCTTCTCAGTATATATTGAGAATATCGTAAGATATTATAAGATATTATAAGAATATCTATGGGATGTTCTCAGTATATTCACCTATTCACCCTTACCTATACACATACACTTACCTATACCTATACACATACTCATGAGCTCCATATACTAGTGAGCTCTATATACAGGGTGTTAGTTAAGTATGTTGCCATACTCAACAGAGAGATTCTTTGGTTTATTTCAAGTAAAAAAGTTCATAAATATGTGTCCTAAACGGCTTAGTTTCCGAAATAAAAAAATTTAAACGTGTAGTAATAATCTTTCGTTTAGAACAGCTTCCTCTAGTACTGGTGTTCTAACTGTCATAGGCTTTCCAAGATTAACAGTGTTCCTTACAAAAGAACCCTTTTCTCGAAGATAGTGGTGAATATTCGCAAATGTTTTATAACATGGTAAGTTGCGTTGGGGATATCTTTCTGTATAAATACGCCTTGCCTCACGTGAGTTACCATTTGCAAGACCGTAGGTAAAGTGCATATCTGCCATTTCAAAATTTGTAAACTTAGGCATGATGAAACCGATTTTGGTGGACTGAAACAATTTGGCCCGAAAACGTATGCACAAGCTAACCGACCCGCAGCAACATCAGAACTAGTCTATTTTTTATTTTATGACTTTGACTTTGTCACTTTGTTTATGATCGTG